CCCTCTAGTCTTACACTGCTAAATTAGGGACGGCTAGTGCAGATAGCCTTCGTGTAGCTTTGCGCGAAATCCATAATAAACAAACAGCCCCTGACGTTATGAAGCATGAAATGCCTCAACTTGGCCTTATGCTTTATAGAGCTTTTCTCATGGATAAACTTTTAGAGTAAAAGACAGAAATGTGGGATACAATGGTTTAACTATAAATATTTATTTTATATCACTTGACCGTTGTCTAGAAGTATTGAAGTTTTTGTTGTTGTAATATAAATTTTTATATTTGTAATTATTACAAAATGTATTACGAGGAGTAACTGTTTTTTTATGAAATGACTTTAATGGCGTGAGTTTAATCAAATTTTGTTTGGAAAATTATGGTTAAGGGGAAATTTGTTTATGTTTCATATATTAATTGGTTTAGTTATTTTTAGTTTACAGCGACATTAAGCTATCTACTGTGTCCACCAAAGGGAATCGAACCTAGGAACTTTGTATAGTAATTTTGGAGACTTACCGCTGTCCCACTGGGGTCTTTATAAAGTAAAGCATAGCTTGAAGCATGTTGTAAAAATAATATGAGACATAATACTTTATTTAATGACAGAGCCATCTATACGTAAACTATGAAATAATTTTAGTGGAATATATTATCAGCTGTTATCAGTTTTGGCCATGGCGGTGTTTCTCATGAACGTTTGTAAGTTTAATGGTTGTGGTTTAACTTTTCCTACTTTACGAGAGCTCATTCAGCATATTGAAGAAACGCACATTGGTGAGTTTGGAATTAAGTATTTTTCTAGGTTTCCTGCTTTTTGTAATTCTCTGTTTATTACTTCGTTAACTTTAGTCATTTTTTAGAAATAGAATTAAGCATTTTATTTTTAAATTAACAAAAATAAAAATGAAAGGTATTTTAATCTTTATCATTGGTTCTTGCAGAAAAAAGGATTATACTTTAAAACGCAACGATGCAACATACTATATTAGTGTGTATATTGAAATATATAATTATATATTTTTCAATTAATTAGGGTAGGCTCTCACAACTAAGTTAACCTATGACTATGAGGGTACCATTTATTGATTCAGCCATTTGAGTTTGAAGCTATTTTTCACTCTCAACCCCCCTCCAAAAAAAAAAAACCAAAGCATTAAATTCAAAGTAAACTTTATGTACCTAACAAAAAGTGTGAAGAATTTCAGAGCATTCTAAAAAACCTCATCAATAAAACTTTTAAAGCATTCCAAAAGTTTATAACTAACCCAAAAAGGGAAAAATTGTCGAGAAACAAGTCTGCATCAAGGTATATCCTAAGCTCAACTCTATTATCATTTAATTTCCATGGGATAACAAGGGGCCATTTGACTCATCTAATTTCCTACATTTTCTTATACCACCCTTTTTGAAACTACATAAATAACTCCTTTTCTTATATTCAACTATGATCACTAAAATACTCATCCAAGCCATTCTTGAACTCCTTCAATATTGGATCTTATACCTTATCTGAAGACAAACTATTACATAGACTAATTACTCTATTAGAAAAGTAATACTGTGATTAGCTAGAGTTGTGTTTGAGTTTTACAGCAGTTTCCTCTAGTCTTATTGCCTGCACATTTTTAAAACATCACTCGGTTTTATGGATTCCAAATCTCTAACATGTTTAAAAACTTCAAGCATTTCTCCACTTCCCACAGCCCTCCTTCTCCTCTCTTACCAGTGAAAAGATGCATACATTTCAACATATCTGTAAATGCTAGTCTTTCTAAACCTGAAATCTTCCTGGTAATTTTTCTCTAAACCCTTTCCAACAACTCAATATCTTTTCTTAAATAAGCTTACTGAAACTAAATATACTATTCCAAATTAGGTCTAACCATTGCCATCAAAAAGAATTGATGACTTTCTTTGGCTTGACTGAATATTTTTATGTATATATATACAGTTTAAAATCCTGTTTGCTTTTTTTACTGGCCACTGTACATTGTGTAGGAGAATATGTAGTCCCAGACACTGTTTTTGTTAACTTCACTTAGAGCTTCATCTGCAAGGGTATAAGAATAATTGTTATTATAATAATATTGGGGCTTCTAACTTTTAGAAGTGAAACTTTTGAAAAAGGAAAAATTTAATGTGCAGTAAAGTGATGTGAGTGCTGAAGGCAATGCCTTTTAGGGGGACTTAGGGACATGCTTTCCCATAAAAAAAATATTTATTCAGTGAAGCAGTATAGTGCAATCTGGTGCAATTTATGGATCAATGTGATGTTGAATTTGACATGGATCCAGCTGGTCAACCAACCATAATGTGTTATAGAAAGCTGCTACTTTGACCAGTATGAGATTTTTTTTTACTAATGAGTATGAACATGAGAATAGGCCCAGATGTAAGAGTCTCATGCTCAATGGGTGAGTATTGGTAGCATAATATGCATAACTTTACTTTTTTTAATATCAAAAGACATCTTCCAGGTTTTAGCACAAATCTTCAAATGTCCCAGGTCTTGATTTAAACCTTGTGCATCTTTAGTACAATTTAAATACTTATTAACATAATATATGGGCAACAAGAGACCATTTGGTGATTCAAGGCTGTTCCTGCACAAATTTCTTTTTAAAGCTCTGGTAAAGTTTGGCCTCCACTACTACCAATAGCAATTCATTAAATAAGTCATAAACACTGTTAGAAGAACAAACTTTCTTATTTGGAGCCTAGCTTGTCTTTTCCAAACATTAAACTTTTCTTCTTTTGTACTGTTGTTTTCAGAATATGGCTCAAAGAAATCAAAGTCTTTTATCCTGTTGACCCTGTGGATAATCTTGTAAGCTTCAGTCAAATTGTCTATTATTGTTCTTTTCTCATGAGAAATAAAGTTAACAGATCTTAACTATCCCCACAAGATAACCTCATCCATCCTCATAGCCATTCCCTGAACCCTTTCCAATAAGTCAATATTCTTTCTTAGATAATGAGACAAAGACCATACATAATATTCCAGATAAGGCCTAATTAGTGATCTGTGTAGAGATTTATTAACTGTTTTGTGTTTGAATTAATATATCTGTAAACACACCCTTGTTGTTTTTTTACTAGAAACAGAGCATTGCCTTGATGGTTTGAGTGACTTATCCATCACTATGCCAAGATCCTTTTCTTCATATTTGCTATTCATTTGGTTCTTATCTATATTAACACATCCCTCAGGAGCCAATAGGTGTCTTTACAGTACAATTTGTAGAATATTGAAATTAAGCTGAATCTGGGAACTCCGAAAGAGAGTGGTTTTGGATGTATCTTTTCAAAACAAGTTTTTGTTTGTTAATTTATAAATTTTTAAGTGAAATACAACATCCTCAAGTTGCCGTACTAGCTAGTATTAAGGTCTACCCACTGGGAGTAAATTCAGTATATATCAATAAAGCCACATTCTCACCATCATTAATTACCAATTGCCAACCTTTTATGCTTCTGCTATCACCTCTATATGTTTAGATTTCAATTGAGATACGAACAATTTTATCTCCAAATTGGTAGGGAAGGTCGAAGCATCATGATAGTCAGCAGTAGGATGAGCAGATAGGAACACTTTGAAAACAGCTACTGGCATAATATTGTACTCAGCTGGCTGCACAATATCTACCAAGATGGTTCTAAATGGTTTCTGAATACCTATGCGTGTCATTTAGAGACTTCCATGCTTCTTGTGCTCATGATGAGCTGATAGATTTCAACCACTTTACCACTTCAAATCACTTTTCGCAGCCACAACACTAAAAGAGTGTGGGAAATGCCTTCTTTTTATTCAATAAAAATGTCCAAACAATTTCAGCTCAAATTAAGGAAAACTGGATTGAGTAGGCATTGTTTTTTTCAACAAAAATGTCCCCCTCTGGCTTGTGAGGGGTCTGTTAAATATGTGATCCAAGTTATGATGACACAAATGCATTAACATGCACTTACTATAATTAGAGGTCAATTTGCCAAACACTTGTCAAATTGACCAATTGATCCAGTTCATTTTGTAATATCTCAACATCCTTGGCACATTTAGAAATACCCACTTATTTAATGTCATCTGCTAACTTCATTTAGTTTAGTAATTATGCCCTTATCAATATTTATGTAAATAAGAAAGAGAAAAGTGCAGGTGTTGACCCCTGATATACTTCACTTGTAACAAAGGTCCAGTTTGACTGGACTCAATTAATAACTTTTTCTTTCTTTTATCTAGCCATGCTACAATCAAAGACAAGTCTTTCCCCAACCACTACCATATCAAACGTTTTTTTTTTTGGACATCTAAGTTTTCTAGATAACACTTAACATCCTCAAACAAGTTAACAGATTAGTAAGGGAAGAATTCCCTTTAGTGAATCTATGTTGATTTTTTTTTATGTTATCATTATTTCACTTCATGATTTTGTAAAGCTTTTTTTTATCAGACTCTAGAATTTTTTCCCACTACAGAAGTAGAACTAAATGAATAACTAGAATAATTCTTACCACCACTTTCAAAAATAGGAGTAACATTTGCAATTCTCCAATCTGCAAGCATCTGTAAGCTGTCTGTTAACCTACAGTACCTAAAACGAAGAGAGAGGCCTGATCTTTGATCTCTATGAGGTATTTTCTGGTACTGGTATTTTATCTATTTTTGATCTCTTGTTCTCTTTCTTTTTGTCACCAAGGGATTAATACCTAAATTATTCATGCCAATCCTATTATTTCTTATAGAATTCTTAGATTGAGGAATATTACTAATCTATTCTCTTGTATACAAACAGAAGAAAACATTTAAAAGTCCAACCATACTGTTGGTGTGAACGTGCTTTGTAGTCACTATGAGAAAAACCTATACGCTGGATAGGTGAAGTGAAGAAAAAGTGTCATTGACCATTATTCAGTTCTTCACATTATATAGCCAGACAAAAGCAGATATAATAAATAAACTTAGTATTCTGAGAATTGTTTAATCTTGAAGTCTAAGCTCAAGGGAGGTCCAGCTATCCCATAGTCTTCAAGGAAATTTTTAAAGGGCTCAATCCCAATTTTAACATTTTTGTGATATCTTTAGCATACTTAAAATCCTTGCTGCTATTTATAACATTATCAGCCAGCTTTTTCTCATAAGCCCATTTAGATTTCCTAACTCTTTTATTAAACAGTTCTTTTGCTTGTATATAGTTCTCTAGATCTTCCATCCTATATGTTAATTTAAATTTCTTAAATATGTGTTTTTATCCTCAATTATATACTTTGTCTTTAGTAAACCAGTAAGATTTTATCTTTCCTGTTGCCCTTGTCCTCTTTCTTTTTAGGAACATACCTATTTTGGAGTAAAAGCTATTTATTTAAAAAAAAAAAATGTTTGTGTCCCATATCACCTTTTAACTAATTTTCTTAATTCACTAATAACAATTCTGTCACATGCCCTCAGAATTGGCTTTGTGAAAATTAGGAAATAGAATTTTATTTTATATCAACATGTAACAAAACATTAGTCCTAATTATACTATGATCACACTTCCACCTGGTTGGTTATCTAACCATTCTGAAACAATTCAAGAAATCTCACTTCCTCAGTACTTAATCTATATATAAATAAACATCAATATATGTGTGTATGTGTTCCTTGTACGTTTCCACATTTCTTGATCAATCAGCACCAAACCTGACACAGTGATACAAGATGACACGAGGAAGGTCATGGGGGTTTGACCCCCCCAAACTAATTTCATACCTGTCAATGTTGTATATCCCTCAGCATT